GTAAGCTCCCATCCACTCGCCATGTCCAGTCACTCGTCTTTAAGCCCCCCTGCTGCACATTAGTGAGCGCCCTGCGCCTGGTCGTCCGTGCGGCCAGGTTCAGTCAAAATCGGTGGGTGAATGCCTCAGCCCGGGAGAGCATCACGACGGCCCTTCCGAGAGGGGGCTTGCATGGCCAACAGGTAAGTCTCCGACCCCCGCTGTCCCCCATTCCTCTGCGAACGTACGTGACCCAAGCTGGACAAGAACCCTCCCTCACTCCGACAAGCAAAATTTTGGGATGAATCTTCCGCTAAAACGCGGAAGTATTCGCTGTATGTTTGCAAAGCTGTCCCCCCCCCCCTTTCACCATCTTCACGCAAAGCCTTTCTCATCTAGCTCGTTTTTCACTAAGTACTATACTAACCTGACCCTACCAATGAGTTCGCCCTACCCATAAACCCATATCCTCTATCTTTTTCAGACCGATTCCGCCTCGAACCAACTAACATTTTCGACTTTTTTACTCCTTTTTCCCCGCCTCCCACCATAGCTCTACGCACTCACTTTTGCTCACACCTCCTATTCCGCCTCTGAAACTAACATTACCAGCTAACTCGCCATGTCTAAAAAACCCTGAGACTGATCTTTGCTCCCTCGATTACGTCAAAGAACGAGCGAGCTACAAATCTTCCCATCTTCCTCCATCTTCACCTCGACACACTAACTTTTCTTCTAACCTCCTAATCTACTAACTCTTATCTAAAACTAACGATACCATTAGACTCGCCCGGGGTCAAAACCCCGGGATCGCCTCTTCTGCCCCTCGATTCCATTCAGGATTGAGGGCGCTATGTCTCTTTAGCTGCGCCCGGCCTACTACTCCGCCGTCCCCCGTTTTCCAACGCACGCACCTGGCGATATTTGTCGGCCAGGTACATCCGCCTTCTCCCTCCCTACAGCCCGCTGTCTCTCTGCGTTCTGCTGCTCGACGCAGCCCAGCCAAACCCGCTGGGTCTCACTTATCTGCCCGGCCCCAGCGCTTGGTCACACTACGGCCTGTCTCCCATGCTACCTCGCGCTCCCACCGCCTGTGATTTCAGCGCCCGATACCCCTGCTCTATCCCCTCCCCCGCTGTCTATTCTCCCCTTGCCCCCGCCTCGACTTTCCCTTTCTGCTGCCCATTACCTCTCCGCCCTCTTCAACTCCGAAAGCACCTAGGCGGAGACCCGGGCCAGATTCACCCGCGCTAGCTCTGCCTCCGCCTTATGCCCACTGCTTCGATTCCCCGTCCCCTGCTCGCTGCCTCGAACTCCTCCCCGCCGTTCTTTCGGGCTTCCAACAGGAAAGCTCACACTGAAGTTTTCCGCAATAGGCCACGAAACCAAAGGCACGGCCTGCTGCTGATCATTACCCCTGGGTCTTAATGAAGCGCCCCTCGTGATGCGGGCCCGGTGTAGACCCCCGGTGGTAGTAACGAATATTCAACTGAGAACTTTGAAGGCCGTACCGGGGGGAGTTCACCGTGAGCTACCTGCGCACAACCAGCACTGTTGCAGGCCTCACCATGACCCGAGCTGCCCCGCTCGGGGATAGCTCGCCCTCCGCCGGGGCCCTACGGGCATACTCACACTCAAACCTCCCACACACAGATCGTGGGCTGCGACCGACGTACCCACAAAAGGGGCCCCGCCACTCGGTTTTCTCCTGCCTCGTAGGCTAATCACCCACCGGCTCGCATGCACGTTGAACTCCTTGGCCCGTATTCTAAGATGGGTGGGATAGAGGAATCTTGCCAGCATCCCAAACATGCCGAAACCCGATCGGACCGTCAAAGGAGGCGCGAGCCCAAGTCCTTGACGGGTGCTCCCGCCGACGGCCCTTAAAAGCTGGTGCCGTGCCCGGGTCAATCGACACGTCGGAGCATAGCAGAAATTAATAAAAAATACGACGCAAAAAGAAAAAATTCCTTGAAAACGTCACCACCGACCGGACGCCGCCGACGGCAAAACCAGGGGGGATAGCCCCGCCAGGCCCTCAACCCCCTGGTCCATTCGTGCCAGTCTCATCCCCGCGTCGTCGCTCACTCGACCTTGATCCCTGAATCTCCCTGATGAAAGTTCGACGCCGTAATAAATAGTGTTAGGCCCAAGTCTGGGTCCAGCGCTGGCGGACGCCCAAATAAACAGACGCTGCACGACACGCCAAGCTACCAAGACGCCTTCAGAAGTCACTTTGTTATCGATGCCGTCCTCCGCACGTACGTGCAGACCTCGGTCAAACGTACCAATAAAACGAAAACATCCTTAATTCCTGCTTGATCAAAAATAAATAAATAATAATAATATCATTAAACAAAACGACCGATGTCCGCGCCGGCTTAATGATAAAAAATGAAAAAGAAATCAGGCGCGCCCTAAACCTGCGCGCCCACGCACTCTCTATTATAGTCAACCATCCAGTCAACGTAAGTCACAAACACAGCTGCGCCTAGCGTGGTATACTTAAACTTTAACCAAA